TTATATCAAGACTAAGGTTGGTTATTCAAAAAGAGTTTAGCTGTTGTTTAACAAACTGCTTCCAAACTACCTTGAATTTGGCTGAATCTTTTATCTGAACATTCATTTTCGTGAACAGTGTCAACAGGGCCGAAAGCTAGCCGTAGAAGGACATTTATTTTATTAAAAAGAGAAACCATCTTATAGAGAATAAGTAAGGCCCACTGCTTGCGTAAAACCGCGGTTTGGGTTAGACCTCGGACCTGAATGTTTTCCAGAGCGCTTGCTCTTGATCCCCTTGTTTCATCTCCGTATCATACCCGTAGTACTTTTCTTCCAAGTTCCTTGTGCGTTCCCGTAGCTTTCCTGCACTGAATTTCTTACAAGTACGTCTACCGTTTTCTGTTGCACCCTTTCGAAATGCGTTCGCAATATCTAAAGTAAGTTTTAGTCGTTCACGGTAGTTGTATTAATAAATAAAGGTAGGCCGTGATAGCCAGTGGATGGTGCGAATAGTTTCGCGTCGTAATCTTTAGAAGATAGATCCGTAGTTACTGTTTTATTCTTATAATCGTCGTATAATCGTCGTACTAACGACCGGAAAAATTAATTGCACAGCACATCTTTATTCCCTGACCACAGGACTCCAGCGATTAGTCAACACTTAGTGATGACGCGTTATCATTCTTTTAAACAACTTATAATTGCTCTAAAAAATTTGAACAAGACCTTGAATCACCACAGTCCCTTCTTTGAATGGTAATAATGGTATACATAAGGAGTACGCATGCGTTCAAACTCCAGTCCTACACTGACAAGCTGGTCCATTAGTATCCAGTCCTCTCCTCCCCAGGTGTTTTTATTCATCCCGAATCCCCCGGCTCGGTCCCAGTCCGACTTGTATAATCCTATTATCCCATAACCATACACTTGCCACAGTCCGACCAAGTTTGCCGGATTAGAACCGCAGGCCATTTGAACAATGATCGGCGTGTAAACCATACGACCTTCGATACAATGCTGAAAAAGGAAACACAGCATGAAATGAGCCATCAAACTACAATCACCTCCGAAATCATCCTTTCCAAGACCCTGTTGTTCAGAGGATGGAAAACAATATCCGCTGGATAAATCTCTATGGTTATCTAGTCATTGTTTTTCTATCAACTGACACAATTTTATTTTTCTTTATAAATATATTTCAACTTACTTTTCGAACGCTGTTGATAAATGGCGCAGCGATATGGAGATGAAGATCCACCATGACAATAATACTGTGCGGGTTTGATACGAGTTTTATCGCCTCAGTAAAGGAATGCGTCCGCGAATATTTCCCACTCTCTCTTCTGAACATGTAATTTGTCAGAGAACAGTCCTTTAAAACCTTTTCCAAGTTGATGTCAGAGCTGTTGTAATCGTAAATCACAACATGAAGATTTTGATCGTTCGTTTCATGTATAATCTTCTCGACGTTTTTAATAAAATGATGCAGCCATCTTCCAAGATTTTTTGCTGTTGCCACCAGATAAACATCGACCGTTCTGTTCCACTGAAATCCCGTTGGGTAACAAAGTTTCTTTTCTCCTTTGGCCATGAACACATATTCAGATAACATCACTTTGGTGCTGCTTATTAGATCAAGCAGCTCAACTTCGATCAGATATCGGTCGCCTCTTTTTGGATCTGTCTTTCTTTCCACATTTCTTATTTTCATCAGTTCAAACCTCCTATTAAGTAAAACAAGTAATCAATCAGATAACCAATGACAGCACTGATAACTGACAATTTTCCGTTCCAATTAAGATATTCTCATGCATTTCACTAAAGGAAGCCTTATGGATCAAAATGGACCAAAGTGCATCCGAGGTATGCTTTACATTTCAGTATACCTTAACCCTTCACACCCTAACATCAGTATCAATATTCTCCATACTGTTCTCTATACATATCCTAAGGTGCTGACAAGGAGAATTTGTTTAACAATCAAGTGCTTCTTCAGATGGCAATTAATTCCATTAATCACTTGACCTAAATGTGTGATTCAGGGTTGAAATTGTAGGGAGACATTTTAGGAGTTGAAAGCAAAAATATATCTATTATTGTTAATACTATTATTATCACTGTAGCTACCATTTACATTATCATTAATATTCTTATCATCAAATTGTTATTACTATTATAACTATCATAATTATTATTACTATCATAATTATAACTATCATAATTATAACTATCATAATTATAATTATCATAACTATAACTATCATAATTATAACTATCATAATTATAACTATCATAATTATAATTATCATAATTATAATTATCATAATTATTATTATCATAATTATTATTATCACAATTACTATCATCATAATTATCATTATTATTATTATTATCATAGTCCTATTACCATTACTTATTACCTTCATTATTATCATTCTCATTACACTCATTACTTCACCAATTTACAAACCTTTAGTTCATTGTTATATCTATAGATGCCAGGCAACAACAGCATGCCTCAGGTCACCCACAGTTCAAACTATCCTTCAACAAGTCAACCAGCCCTTAAACACATTTCTTAAGATTCTGCAAGGTTCTCTTCTTCACTTGCATATGGTTGTGCATGCAGTAGCAGGATAATAACAATGCTATGCCTACCCTGACACACAAACCTTTCCCAGAGTCAAAATTTTCCTAAAATAAGTGAATAAATTTCCTGACACACTACTCTTATTTTGACCATAACTGCTAAATTGTGATTTCATTACCTTGGTTCTTTACTGCAAAGCGCCTCCTTGAAGGTGTAAACAACCTCTTTTGTCTCATTTTCTCCAAGTGCATAAATCCAGTTTTTTTGGTCTCTAAGTTGTTCATGTTCAGGAAATGGGTATATAAATGAATGAACAACATGATATGTCACAGCTTCATATCCTGATACTCTGCGATTCAAATTGTAACTTGGTTTATACTCACAATACGGTAAGATATTTTTCACTTGCTCATGTGATAAGTGACTCATTTGACTTGGCAATTTAAAATAAATTGCTTCATTCCTTCTCAGAGCACAGGCTTGAGAATCTGGTATGTGTTCATCGTAAAAATTCAAATTAAATGAGCTGCTGTCATCCACGTTTGGGAATAAAAATGTTGAGTTTATGATTTCAAAACCAGAGCTACTTGGAGTTTTCCACAAAAGTTGTAACTTGTTAATGCTGTGAACACAAATGGCAACTATGTCTATGAAATATTTCTCTCCAGCTACCAGATCAATTGCTGAGGAAACTTGAGAGTCTGACTTGTTTTCAGGAAATTTTCCAGCATCTAAGGATATGATCTTCATTGCTTCTTTCCAGTTCTTGTGGTAGCCAAGATGCACTTCAGCAGTGCAAAATTTAACCATGAAAAGAAACAAGCCAGATTCGTTCGGGTTTATATACCCAAACAACCTCATTTCCTTCGCCTGTGTCAAGTTGCCCGTAATTACCGTTTTTTTCAGCGCAAGTCTTTGAGCTGGAGCTCTTGGAAACATAGGAAAATTACACAAAATGTCTAAGTTTTTCGCACAAGTATCTGACCACAAATGCAAATTTAAGAAACCTGACATGTGCGCTTTGGGAGATTCTTTAATCGATATTGTCATCTGCAAACCGGTCGAATTTTCTTGTGCAACTGCCGTTTTGTTTCTTTCGTTGAATAATGTGGTTAATTTATCAAATCTAACAAATACTACGAATTCAAATACTAGGAACAAAACGACTCCAACTTTCACCATTTTTCGTTTCCACAAACGTTCCAGTGCAGTTCGTACGTGATAAATTGCTTTCATTTTGCGTGAGTCAAATCAGCCTTGTCACTCCAAATTACACATCAACATGATTTCCATTTACAACACTTGTTCGTAAGCTGCTCTTTTTCTACGCCGAATGGTTGAAAAAGCATTCTATGAAAGGTTGAACTAGTTACCAAGGGAACTACAGCAGCTCTGAGATTCACGGTTACAATCGTTTCGTGGCAACGATTGTCTTTTACCACGTTCTGCCAATTATAATATTGAACATAATGTCCTTTTGAAATAAAGAGCCATACCGATCAAAATTCGGTTAATGAGAGCTTCATTCCGTGATAATTCACCACCAAGGATGCTTCGCCTCAGTTGTTATACTGTTAATACTGTTTTAAGAGTATCTCGTCCACCATTTTGAATCATTCCCAGAGTGCATTGTAGTATACTAATGGCTCCGATGTTCCCGCGGTCAGTTTTGGATAAGGCCTATTTACACGGTACGACTTCGTCGCATGCGACAAGCTTACGACAGGCCTACGACACGAATTGTATCGTGTAAATCAAACCTACCACTCGCTTACGACTGTCGTGCACGTCACGAAAAATGTCGTAGGACTTTAAAACATGTTTTAAAACGCTGCGACAATCGTAGCCGAAATTGATAGAAAATGACGTATTTTGTGACAAATTTCTACTGAGTAGGGGAGGAAGGTGAAATTTTCTTGCGTCAAAATGGCGGAGGAAGTCGCCTCCGGAAAGTCGAAGACTGCTTCCAAAGCGAAAAATACATTCTCAGATGAGGAAACAGAGAATATGATATCACTGTGGAGCGAGGAAGAGGTTCTTTTCCTTCTCTTGCAAATTATTGAAACAATGACCGCGGCTGAAACGAGGGGAATTGCACGCGATTTTGGCATGTCGTAGGTGAAAATGTCGTGCGCGTGTAAATTGTCCTATGTCATGTCGTAGGCCTGTCGTAAGCTTGTCGCATGCGACAAAGTCGAACCGTGTAAATAGGCCTTATAGAGAGGCCTTGACTGTGCTCTGTTCTGTTGTAAAGCACGCAGGAAGCGGCTAGAGCGCGAAAGAAGTGTAGAGAGAAACGCGAGACGTAGTCGTAAAAAAAATCACGATAAAAAAGGGAAGGGGAAGGTATAAAAAAATCACTTCACTCACATCCAGTTACGGTATTACAGGAGGAAATAATTCGAAAAAGGTGAGTTACGGGTCTGTGCACTCCAACAACAGATAGGTCCAATATTGCCGTGCTTCTGTAAGGTATTAGTATATATCTACTAGCAATCTATCAAAAATGCTGCTATCTGATTGGCTACGCTACTCGCCATCTATTTCGACACACAGATCCCATGTTGTCGCACGTTTATTCAGCAATAGATCACAGATGACGTCAAATGTGGTACGAACAAAAAACTGTCACAAAGGCACAGCTAAGTGTATCACTGATGTTCTTACCATATTTTGACGTCTTCTGTGGTCTATTACTCTTCAGACACAGAGCATCATGGAATTTATTATTTTGTTTTACACAAAAAAGAAGCAAAAATGCGTCTTCCTTCAAATCCATGTATAATTCCACATATTATATGACAAATATTATTGCATTTGAAGACTACATGCACTTAAGTTACAAGCCCCTAAGCTATCAATTCACAACAAAATCTCGCTTCTGAGAGCTCCATTGAAACAGCCAAGATCAAAATTTACCAGTCAATGATTGCAAAAAGCATCCAGCGCAGTTTTAGTTTGGACAGCTCAAACACGCCCGTGATGACCTCCCCCTACCCAGACACATTTTTCTCCGGCTTAAAGGCTTTACTTCACGTGAGATCCTTAACTCTTCTCAATCCTTTCACCCTCACGAGCTGAATACGTATAACAAGTATTATTACATCTCTATTTTTTTCTATTGAAAAACATCATGAATAAATTAATGTAGCGGTGGATGAAATTTAAAAAAATGCTAAATTTCCGATAAATGTATCTACAATCTACAATCTACACTAATTCCCCACACAAGCTGTGGAAAGGTTATGACGACGTAGCAGGTTTGATTGTGCTCAGAAGTTGATCAGCGGCATCCACCACTCTGCTCAGATATCGTGGACCAGCGCTGACAGCATTCAAGGTTTCTTCAATTTCTGTTTGACTGTAACGATAATAAAAAGCAAGTATTCTTTGGTTAGGAGAACGCCATACAATGGTGGTGTTCAGTCCATCCTTAAACAAATTAGCCGATGTGACAGGGCGTGACGTTAAATTTTGTGTGCCGCAGATATGCGAGAGAAAACATATCCCAGTTTACAAAGCCGTTAACATGTAACCAGTGACAAGGAAGCAAAGGTATTCGCTGCAAAGCGCAGGAAAACACGTACCTGGCGTGCACGCGAAGAATAAAATGGTGGAACATAGGCGGGACAAACAAGAAGCACGTTTACAAACAAACGCGCGAAATACAGATGCGAAGGGAGCAAACACCTCGTCGAACAAGCAACGTAACGACAAGGAGGAAATTTTTCACAGAACTGAACACTCTTGAAGCAAGTTTTGCAACACAGTGCTTTCAAACTGAAAATAGATTGACCACGAATTCGTTAAGTTTAGGTTTAGCTATAAAATATGATAAATTGTCCACGTGTAGCACAAACCTCAGGTGTCCAATTTTTGGTAATGCAGTAAGTGATACACAGTTTGGATAAGAAGGTAGCCCAACTTGTATATGCAACACAAACTTCACAAACGCCTTCAAACTTGAGAACTCCACAATAAGTCTGTAAAGACAGCACCAAATCATTCTTAATGCATGCAACAACAACTATAATATGGGTTGAAGTATTTCACAATTTCCCTTTCATAACAGGACACTTAGTCACCAAGTTCACTGTGATTGGACAGTTTGAAAAAAAAAACTGGCACGTTGATTGGTGGACATGATAAACATCGTTTACGCTTAAGATACAGGCCGATACAGGCTTTTTAAAGTGGTAGTCAAATTGATTCGCAATTGTAAAGCAAGGTTTCATCTTTTGGCTTGTTCATCCAACCTAAAGTTAGATGACAATTTTCGATAGTTCAGACGAGGTCTCAGACGAAAGGACGAATTGTTTTGACAAAGAATTGCATTACCTATCCTCTTCAAATGACATAAGATGTGACAGACCAATTCTGAAAAGCTCATCTCCTATCTCGTTCGACTTATGAATTATCCCTGACACGTGCTCCAAGACCTATAGGAAGCAAATCAAAATATGAAAGATATATGGATATCAGAAATAAATTTTCTCCTAAATTTTTCCTTATCACCACAGTTAATCACCTTAATAACTGTCACACTACAACTTGACACAACTTTCTTAATAAAAACTACCAAACAGAGTTTCGTTCATTAACTGCATGAGCAGGTTCAAACTTTTCAGGCTGCAGATGAACTGACTCTCGTGTGTAACCATTCAAACAAAAATTAGTAAAGCAAAGTTTGCATTGGAGCCGTCTGGCTAGAAGTTTTCCCGGTTTCCCTCGCACGAGGCGGCTTGGAGTATCACTACTCTCCTCCCCTCGATGAAATACTAGTCCATCGCGAGTACCTTGGCTAAATCCTTCCTTGAAGAGTACATCTGGTTGAGAATGTCCTCATTTACCAATTTTTTCACAATAGTTTGGACTTTTCCCATTCTTCCACTAAAAGTATCTGCATGACAAGAATAAGTAAGTAACAACTTTATTTAGAGGGGGTAACACATGACAGTATGACTGATAAACTAGATAAAAGAAAATACTTCCTAAAAAGTAATATCTCATCCTAGAGCAAATTTTTGGTGTCATGTTGAATAAATACAAAATGTGGCATAAAAAATAATTTTAAAAAAATATATTCGCCTTTACCCTTCCCAAGTGCGCAGATACTGACATATATCCGTGGCTGTCATGCACGCATAACCAGATGCCTTTGGGTCTCATTATTCTTGGTATCAACATTTTTTTGCTTTCAGGTGTATCTTAATACCTCCATTGAGGAACAAATTAACTTAGTAATCAAAGTCCTTTTCAAGTACCTGCTGTAGTGAAATTCAGTTTAACACTCCTAACATCCTGATGATGAAATACACCTTCTGTATTGGTAAGGGAAAAGTGGTAACACATACATTAAAATCAAGGAAACCTTTGAAAGTCATAATTTCTAAATTGCACCTCCTCAAACCTTCCTAGACACCATCTCAAATAGCCTCCAGTAAAATGGTGACTTAAAGATTCTGGAAGAAATTCAAAATTGCAAATAATAATAAAAAAAGTTTCGCACTCTGACCTGTGGTTTCTGGAGCAAATACCACGACAATTTCCAACGTGTTGTTCAAGAACGCAAATTTAGCACGCTCTTTATTCCACTCCTCTAAGGACCATTCCTGCAAACTGATCAACAATGTCATAGTTGCGTTACATGCTAGACAAAGAAATGAGTCACGCAATCAAATTACGTCGTGCTTCCTTCTCGTTCGACGGAAAATGAATTCATCACCAGTATGCAAAGCCATCCATACTGTGGAAAAACGGTCAATGAATATCTCTAAGGGTCATATGAAAAGTGATGAGAACTCTTATTTGAAGCCAATATCTTGTAAAATGTTACGTAATGACATCTTTCCCTCTCACAAATGTTGTCACGTCTTGAGGACAGCATTTGTAGAGAAGAATTTGCGTGGAAATCCAATAACCAATTCAAACCAGAAATTTTTCCGAAACATACCTCACGAGGATATCTAATTTCTGCGACAATTCTCTTATTGGTTTGTTGCTCCTTGGGTCCTGTTGAGAAAAAAGATGCCATTCTCGTAGTTGTAAAAGGATGTCAAATGGCGGTAGAGCAATTTTTAATTTAGCATCGAAACCCCTTCCTTTATTTCAAACTGTTTCCGGTCTACAAAACTCGCGCTACCATCTCAACCAATCAGACAAGAACTATAACTAATCACGACTTGGCCACTCGCGTTTTCCCGCGCTTCAGGAAGTTTGCGTCTTGGTACTTTGAGTTCTCATGGGCTCCTACTGATATTTTCCTTAGCTCTGATCGGCTGAGGTGAAGTAAGCTCCACTACGCCACAGATCGCGACATAAAATTTCAGTGGACAGAAGACAGCTTCTTCGAGTTACATTTAGACCAATATGACCAAATAAATGAAACCAACCTTTCGTTTCACCAAGCGAATAGTTTCCTCCGTCTCGAGTATCTTTCCATCAAGTTGGTCCTTGTTCTTTGCCAGCTCGTGTTTCTCGCTAAAATTAATGGATTATAATGTTTGCATAATCATTATTTAATTGAGTAACTCATCTTGGTCCCTTGAAGCATAAACCCTTCAGTCGGCATTTCAATTTGTCAGGTTTCTCTAAAAATTGGCTAGTATCCAGTACGCTTCACAAGTGGCCTGCGAGCAGGCCATTGTCATCAGCGCTGCAGGAAGCGCGTTACTCCGCCCGCGTGAAGATTTGAGATGAGTCGGGGAGAGGTTTGGTGCCAGTCCTCTTGCAGACCTCTAACCAACTCGCTTTGCTCAATGCCTCGTGCTTTCCCGCAGGCGAAGAAACACTCATGTCGATGCGCTTATAAAGAGGGTATGCTTGCAAGCTACTTCCTGAGTTACTCCGGTGGAAAATCACCGTTACAGAACCATAACTACCAGTAAAAAAACCTTTTTTCTAAGTCATTGTCGAGTACTGATCCATAGCAAGAAAGAAGTGATACAAGTTCATTATCCTGTTTGACAGCTTACCCCTTGTAAATAAGATCTCACCTCTGTAGCTTAGACCTTGTACTTTCCAGACCAGCGAGTTCTACGATGAAAGTCAACATCATTGTGAATGGAAACGTTACATCGAAATTAAAAAACTCACGACTGTCTCTTTTAAACTCTTCGAAAGACACCAAATATGAAGCATTCGCTCTACCTTCTTCGCTCTTTCTCAGTGCCTCTGACATAGTCGCCAATTCTTCAACCATGTTTGTTTGTCTCTGAATTTCCTAGGTTTAAATAGGAAGAAATTAAGGTTTACGCATTGTATTATAGCACCTCAGGCTTTTATAGCAAAGATTAGTTATTACTGACATTTGATTTTTGGTACCTTTTCGCTTTCTGTGAGTGACACGTGAATGTTTTTCATTTTTTCATCAAAGTCTCTGTTCACTGTCAAAAGGTAACATAAAGAAATAAATCAATGGAACACTACTAATGATAACTATAACAATAATAATGATAATAATAGTTTAAGCGCTCTAACCATTGCGTCATTTCCTCTCCCCGAAGCGGAAATAAAGAATGAAAACGGGCGGTTTTATGCAGTTTCGGGCGAGCGATGGTAAGCACAAAGAGAAAGCGTAATGCGAGAAAAAACAAATGACTCATGCTTAACCTCCGCTCGCCTAAAAATACTAGGCCTGTTGTGTAGGCTCTAGACAACGAGCAGTCCCTTCTTTTTGGAGAAGTCCGTTGTGCAAGCGAAAAAAAATAGATGTCAGTGCGCCATGCAGAAGTGTAGGCTAACAACCCCCTTTTTTTCATTACCGCGACAGACTTTGCCGAAAAGGAGGGACTGCTCATATTCTATGCAGGCTCAATGAAACAGGAAAACTTGACAGACGGTAATAACGTGTAAATGTCGAACTCTGAAAACGTTTATGGTTTATATACATAGGCCTGTGAAAAAGTCTCGTAGAATGGATGTGTAATGGGAAAGTTAATAGACAGAGTTACAGCTACCATTCTTCACTTACTTTTGTCAAGTAAACTGAGACAATCATCAACCATATTAACGGACTCTTCCACAACGAGCACGTCTTTTGCAAGAGCCGCGTGATTCGTCTGAAAATGTTTTTAAAAAATACAAATCGCACTTTTTTTAAGTGGATGAACGTACAAACAATACCTCACTGCTTCCATCGATCTGAATCAAAGAAATCATAAAGTTGCCGAACAAAAAGACAACCGTGCAGAAAACTCTTAGTGAAGAAAAAAGCTGTAAACTTTCGGTTTGTGCTCCATTTGATTTTGCTTTTGCTTTACATGTAACTCTTTTCACCCGACCGTTGGTATGTATATTCTCTACACTGTTCCCCATACTTTCCTCTGGAACTAACAAAGAGAGTTTTTCCTCTGCCGACCGTGAGCCTCCCGTAAACGAAATTAATTGGTTATATCAAATGAAAGAATTAAAAACAATAAAACTAACCGTCATTTTTAATAGTACTTTTTTGTTCAGCTGGCCTTTGTTCTCTTTCCACTCTCGTTTGGAAGTTTTTTCGCACACAGAACGCAGGCGACGAACTTTACTTTGCAGGGCTAACAACTAAGTAACAAAAGGAAAAAAATAAACAGAACGATTTTCACTTGAGTGTCGAAACTTCGAGAGTGCTTTGCTTTTAGCTGTATTCTGACCAGCCATAGCACATTTTATTTCCATATAACCCTCTTACACCTGGTCAAAGGACCTTTTTTGTGTGTGATCTAGAAAAATGATCAAAGAGATAGCTCGTTTTGAACCCCCACAGTTTAGGGACCTTTACGAAATGTTAACAGACTAACAAGTGTTCCTGTTTTTTCTATAATCTTGAAAAATGATCCCAGAAAAGAGCTCGTTTTGCACTCCTACAGTTTAAGGAACTTTACGATATGTTGACAGACTTTCAAGTGTCCCACTTCAAGTTACCTCGTACAGAAAAAAATCCAAATACAAGCCAAAATTTGTTGGAAACTTGCCTCAGGATAACATGGTCAATTTATCGTGCAGCATTTAACCTTTTACGTCCTAATATCAGTATGCATATTCTCAATACTGCTCTATATACATTTCCTAAGATGCTGACAAGGAGAATTTGGTTACCAATCAAAAGCTTCTTTTGTTTGTGATCATTTCCCCTATTCTCATGACCATAACGTGTGATTCGGGGGGTGATCTCATAAGGAGAATTTAAATGCTTGTCACTCTTTGGTGTTAAAGGGTTAAGGGGCAATTTGCAACTGAGTGTCGAAAGTAATCCGGGATTATTTTGTTTTTGCTTTACTTCACCGTGTGATTGGTCCAGAAAATTCGCGCCACTTTTTCAACCAATCAGATGCAAACTGAAACCAATCACGACTTGGTCGCCCGCGTTTTCCCGCGCTAAAGCAGTAGGCTTGTTTTTACTTCGAGTTCTCATTGGCTCTTCAAATAAATTTTGCTTTCTTCTAATTGACCGCTCTGATGACTTTGGTTTGGGTATCACGACACTCAATCGTAAAGCGCTCTATGGCGGCTTACCTCCTCTTTGCTTGCGGTTTGTACTTCCATAAATATTCTGGGGTTGGACACATTCAACTCCATCTCTTGCTGTTCAACTTTTCCTTTCATACTATCAGCACAACCAATCAAAGAAATTATGTTTATGTTAAAAATATTCGTTTGATCGCACGATTTGTTGCACCATTTATGGTATGTCTATTATTGATATCTTTGTAAAAATGTCTACAAAACACAATGCCATAAAATACAGTTCTAGCATAAACCTACTAGACTACTGCCACGAATAGCGCAGTCTGCTTGGCTACGCTACTCGCTGTTAATACCGTGACAGTAAACTCCGAGCAGTTCCTTCTTTTCGGCGAAGACCGTCGCGCGCGTCAACGAAAATCGGTGAGGGAAAAATTGATATAAGCACGCCGCGCGGAACTCTGAGAGTGAGGCACACAGAAAGTTTAATAGCTATCACGCAAACTTACAGAGTATAACGTCATTGTTAACTGGTATAAACAGTGTGTTAATACTCACGCTGTGATCTCCGATTCTACGACTGGAATTGCCTCCTCGTAGCAAACAGCCTTTGGTTTTGATACTAGAGTTGATATCATCCTGTCTTTGAGAGTTTGAGGAGCCTCAACCTGAAAAAAAAGAGCGAAGTAAAAACTAACATCTCAGCCATGCGATAAGGATTAATGGAGTGACCAGCAACGACTTTCTCCTTACAGTAATGCTGCTGAATCAGTCATGAGAATAGAGGAAATGATCGCCAACTTAGGAATATTTGATTGTTAAACAAATTCTCCTTGTAAGAAACAAACGAAATGTATAGAAAATATTATAGAAAATTTGGATACAGATGTTAGGTTTTTAAGGGTAAAACATATTCATTAGGCCGAACCATGATAGAATGGCTAATTCGTATGAAAATGTTCACTATAATGAACTTTTTATTTCTTAAATAAATTCAAAATCGATTTTTATCGTTTATTTTCCAGCAAGTACACTCCCAGAAATAATTAGTTGGAACACTTCTCCAGGACAGAGTCTATGATGTACCTTTGCCCTCTCCTCTTCTAATCGTTTTGAGCTGCCAATATTTTAAACCATCTTGCAGATCAACATTGAGAGGGGCAGGGGAGGCGGTAAGTGTCCACAAAATGTCAGAGAGTGTTACTCAAAATTAAGTTATTTCCCGAATCATCGAAAAAACTTTCACTGTTTAACAGTCATATAATTTTACACAACATCGTTACTAAACTCACCACAGCAGATGGTACAACACTGCGGCGCATGTTGACCTCTGTAATAAAAGCGATTTCTATAATATCAAGGAACTCCTTCAGGGTAATGGCACTTCTGAAAACAAAAACAAAATCACTATTGTCATTTTTTCCATTAAATAACATTCCTGAGTTACTTCTGGGTAAAGATTTGATTTAAAGAAAGTAAAAACTTACATATATGAATACGCTGAGCTGGCATTCGACAAAGGTTACAGCCATTTTGCATTGGGCAATCAAGGAAACTGCCTTTCGAGTAAAACCGTCGATAAAGAATACTTTGAAAAACATATGAAAAAGTGACGCATAATTGCCACAATTTAGGGTTCGGCAAAAACGTCTTCGGAAGAAATTTTTAGACTCATTCTGGACCTCTATTTCAACGATTGTGTTCATTTTTCAAATTGACGGTTACGAGCAAAATCATATGACGTTAAGAGAATTGCAGTTGACGAGCATTTGGCCCAAAGCTATTTTTTTCCTTTCCTTACGCTGATTGGATTATGTGACCTCAGTAATTCATAAATCGTAGAATTAGCTACAGAGATACCAACAAAGATATCATCCAGCAATTCAGTACTGGTAGCCTTAAAAACATATCCTGATTCTTCACATCTTTAAGATTTGAGCACTCTCTATATATATATATATATCAGCAAAGCCAGTGCATTTGTTTCACCTGTTGAACAATTTCAGTTTCTGCAGAAACCCTGACATTTTCATGAGATAACTTGATTCTACTTTGCGAAAAAAAAAAAAAAGGTGCAAAGAAAACATAACGCCGGCTCGAAATGTCAGCTTTGAAACTCTGTACGGTGGCCGATTTACATTATAAACTCAGTTGATAAAACCGAATCATCTCATTTAAAGTAGTCGCACTGCATTCAACTCAACAGACAAACTTACCGTGAATGTTGCATCTTCTCCATCTCTGTGACATCAGCGTCCTCCTCTACACTCATTCCCTTTTTACTGAGTTCACTCAGAGATTCCTCACAAATGACAGACAGCTTCCTGTCAGGAGTTGAATCACTCACACCACAATTAGCCTTTAATGCCATCTGTTGCGAAGAGAGGGCGGATTCTTTTGGAATGGGAGAAACTCTTGAAGTCTGAGATGTTTCCCCCTTGCTGCGATTTAAATCTCTTTCTTTCTCCACCACTGCATCGGCAATGTCTTTAACTCCGGTGAAAGTATCTTGTGGACTTTTCGCTAAGTCCAGTTGCTCTTTGCTGACGGTAAGGTGTACACCTTGACTATCAAGAGTGTGGACTGGCTCTGAATCTTGGCATCTAGTCACATTCACGTCTCCTGTCTTGTGCAGGTTTTGTTGGTTTGTCATCTGCATACTATCATCTAGAACAGGTTGGCAAATAATGGTCTCTACATTTCCGTCAGGTGACTGGGCCATTCCTGGATCATAGCAAGAAATTATGTCCATGTCTTTAGTTTCATGGATACCTCTTCTGTTAGATTTGTGTAGAGTATTATTTAGCAAGGGTTGTTGATGGAAGAATGATACCTCCAAATCTTCTTCCGAAGCCAGAGCCTTTCCTTGATCATAACAGGAGGTGGAATCAATGTCAAGAGGCTCGTGGAGGCTTTTTCGGTTAAGTTTAGGCCCATCCATGTCTGGAGCTGACTGATGTTGTAACTCTACTATCTCCGAAGCTCCTTTACACGCGATAACCATTCCTGAGCCATGGCAAGATGTTACATCTACATCAGTAGGCTCATAAAGGCTTCTTCTCTTCTGTTGAAGTGCTCTGGTGCCCTGAGCTGATTTACTTTCACAGAAATTTCCTCTTAAAATTTCTCCAGAGTTCTTTAACATTCCTGAACCATGGCAAGATGTCATGTCCACATCAACAGGCTCGTAGTGGCTTCTTTGTTTGATTCCGTGCGAACTACTCCCTACAAGCAGCTGATTGTAACTGACTGTAGCGCTGGATGACTGAACCACTCCCTGACCAAAGCAAGATGTTACATCTATGTCGGTAGGTTCATAGATACTTTTTCTTTTGTTTCTCTGCAAACTGTTGTCTGCAACTTGCTGATTTTCAGAAGCCCCCGCATCCAGTTTTTCACTATTTGACTTCAGCCGCCCTGCATCATAGCAAGATGTAATATCAATGTCTTCTGGTTCGTAGATGCTTCTTCTGTCTGTTTTCTGACAACTTTTACCTACAACAGGCTGATTATAAGGAGCCAATGTATCCACGCGTTCACCTGTTGTCTTCAGCAGCCCAGCTCCAAAGCAGAGTGTCACATCTACATCAGCAGGTTCGTAAATGCTTCTTCTGCTTCTTTTGCGCGAACAACTGTCTTCAACAGCCTGAATATAGGGAGCAATTGCATCCAGTTTTTCATCTGTTGCCTTTAGCAGCCCAGCTCCATAACAGGATGTTACATCTACATCAGCAGGCTCATAGACACCTTTTCTGCTAATTTTGCGTGAACTATTGTCCACAATAGACTGATCATGAGGAGCTAAACCCTCCAATTTCTCATCTGATGTCTTCAGCAGCCCAGCCCCATAGCAAGATGTTACATCTACATCAACAGGTTCGTAAAGACTTTTTCTGTTAACCATCTGATGACTCCTGTCTCCACCAGACTGGTCAAACCTTACACTTTCATCAAAGTTTTTGCCAGATGACTTGAGCAGTTCTGGACTGCTGTGGGATGTCATGTAATTGGCAGCTTCAAATGGGCTTCTTCTCTTCACTTCCTGTGAAGCACTGTCTACAGATAGCTGATTTTCACTTTCTTTCTCCTCCACCTTTTCACCAGATGCCTTCAGCAACCCTGGACCATGGCAAACTGTGACATCTACATCAGCAGACTGACAAAGCTGGTTTGCTTTCCTTTTATTCGCATCTAATCTATCACAGTTGTCTACAGATTGTAGAAGCCCTGGGCCATGACATGAAGTGACATCCAAGTCTGAAAGCTCAGTAACACTGCTCCGACTTGTGTTCTGTGCACTGTTTTCCAGTACTGGTTGACTGTGGCAAGTAGTGAGCTCTAGATCACATTCTTCTTCATTTGTGTCTCCAACAGATGGCATCACTTCACCAAGCACTCTTAAGAAAACTGAAGAATTCATTTTACTTGAAGATCTGTTTGGCGAGTTTTGCTCATTTTGAGAATTTTGTTGCAAAAGAGACGGAAATGGAGCAGAAGCAGCCTGTTGTTTTTGTGTCTGACAAACAGTCAGGTCTAGGGAATCGGTGCGATCGGTATCAGAACTAAAAACCAGTGTATGGTTGCTACCTGTGATCAACACTGGTAACCTCGTGTTTTGCAAAATTCCTGTACCATAACAGCGTGTCATCTCCAGGTGACCAGTGCTTCCTGGTGATTGATTTTCATTTTGATTTCTTTCTAAATTTCTGTTGTCTGTATCAACTGAAGCAATAGGGCTTTTTCTTGCACCAAGGGACCTCAAAAAGACTGTGCTATCAAAGGAAAAGTCATTTGTGGAGTCCTTTGTTGTGACATCATCATGTACTTCCTCCATATTTGTTTGATTATCAAACGACAGTAGTGTCTTCTTGCCTGATGTCATACTATCTCTGGAACAGTTTGTTATATTGAGCTGGGTTTCACATACAGGCTGTGCCTTGTCTGGTAAATTTGTCTCGAAACTATTTCCAAAAGCATTTAGATCTGCTCTAACCCCCAATGCCTGTCTCTTTTGCACACCAACCTCCTGATTGTCTGATGATTTTGCCAGTCCTTGGCCGTAACACGATGTAAGCTCAAGGTCGGCAGGTTCATAAACGCTTCTCCGTTTGGTTTTCTGCGAATTGCTCTCCAGAACAGCAAAGCTGTGACAAGCTGTGAGCTCTACATCTGCATTTGAACATGGACTTTGCTGGGATCCACTCTGACTGTCATAACCACCCTGCTCAGATCTGATCTCAGCTATAGGCTGCCTCCTGCTGGAAATGCTGTCATTACTTCTCGTTGCCGAAATTGCAGTGTCATGCTTTACTTTAATTCCTTGAGTATGTGCATGCTTTGATCCTAATGACAAGAGGAAAGATGTGCTGTCCATTCTGTCATTTTCCTGAAAACCAGCAGGTGACATAACCTGGTTATTCAAACCATCCTGGTAAAATAATTCTTTTTGTGAGCATGTTATATCAAGATCAATGGCTGAATCATGGCTGAAAATCTTTGTATTCTCCATGTTTGTAGCACTGTTTGGCAAAACTGAACTGTAGCATGTGGTATACTCCATTTCCTCTGCCTGTTCACTTGGCTTTAGAGTTACAGGTTCCGGGATCTCCTAAGGTTTATTAGGACAACAATTAAGAATACAGTGTAAGTATGTGTATCTTAGACATAAGCATTGAAGCTGACAGTTACACCATAAATATAATTATAAATATACACTGAGCCTTCATTAGCAGGAATTCATTTAATACAAATTTCTTTTAAAATTATGCTATCTAATACTTATGACCAATACTTGTTAATGAGTTGCAAGAAGACTGGTCAGTACACTTTCTCTCTCTTTTGTCATTTGATGAAGCATACAGTACAAAAACTAGATGGATGAAAAAGATTGAACATTGCTCTTGAAAAAGACTAATTCTGCATGTTCAGTGACCACAAATTTGTACTTCAGATATAACAGAGGTAAGAGATGAGCCTTTTAAAATCATTTGAAGCAATTTCTTTCAAAAAACTCACCTCAATTTCCACTTGGCAAACACTGAAATCATCTGGTGCTTGAATATTGCCCTTTAACAAGGATTCGAGACCTAAAAAGTAAGAGGTAAAATAAAAGTACAGTTTAATGATTTATCATAATGAACTTGAAGATTGGCTCATTTTTCTTTTTTGTCAACCCTTTGACCCCTACAAATGATTAGCATCTACTTTCTCCTCACAGCATCACTCCTGAATCACACATCACCATCATGAGAATAAAGGAAATGATCACGAACAAAAGAAGCTCTTGACTGTTAAACAAATTCTCTTCATCAGTACCTTAGGAAATATACAGAGAACAAAACAGAATATACATAATGAAGTTATGGTGTAAAGTATTCATGTAAATATTCACCTTCAATGGAATTAGCTGGTTCCCGGTATTCACTGTCAATAATAAACAAGGGAAATTAGACATCAGCCATAAGATAAAAGTCAAAACATACCACTGCATAAAAAAGACATTCCTGTAAAATTTTTCATTCATTTGAGCAACTTACATAAAGCACTGTCTCTTTTTTTCTTCTGACTTGAGACTTAATCATATTTTTTCTAATGCAAAAATTAACAATATATGTAGCTCTCTTACCCTTGAGAAGAAGTGCTTAACTCCAAAAGATCACCTGTAAAATATTTTATCAGGGAATCAATTTAGGTATTTAACTCCTAAAAACTAATCAGATGATGAATTGCAGTGCTGAATACAAATTTGGTAAAATCTACATATTTTTTAATCATTAGTTTCAAAAACCTACTATTTTCTTGATCCTTGGGCCATGAATTCTTCCAGTCTTCTACAAAAAATTCTCTGCAAAATGAAAGTACATATTTTTTTTGTATAATTAATTAATTAAACAGGATTATGTGAAATAAACTTTACAGAGAAAGACATGATTTCAAATTTGTTACAATAATAAGCAAAACAACCCTGCTAAATCTGACTTGATTAAGTCAAACCTCTCACAGACTTAACTCTTTAACTCCCAGGGGTGATTAACATGTAACTTCTCCCTATAATTGCCATACATTATCCAGCAAACGGGTCATGAGAACACTCAAACTTATCAGGTAGAAAATGTTATTTTGAACTACCACCAAATCCTTGTAACTAATTTACAAGGAAATGTGTAACAGCTAGAGGTAAGAACTTGCAATCAGATCTTGAGAGTTAAAGGGTTAAGAGTTATAGTCAATTCCTTAAAAGAACATTTCTCATTGACCCGAGTTACTAGATGTTCTTAGCAAAATTGTGATTAAAACTCTCTTTTAACATTTTTTCATTACTCTTGGTGGTTTAAGTGAAACAAGTTCTATTGTGTTACCTCAGGTACAGTGTAAAATAACCAAATATAACTTACTTGATGTCGTTCTTCTCTGCAAAGCTAACTCTCCTTCCAGAGGATCTCCTAGACTTTTTGGATGTGTTTCTGTAAGAGTAAAAAAAAATAATTATTAACCAATAAGACCAACTAAGAATTGCCTAATGTTACAGCCATTTGCACAAGCAGTTGTCACCTTAAAAATGATACTGACAAATGATTTTTGTGATTAAATTTGACCCCTATTTTGTGGAGGCTGTATTTAGCAGTTGCCCCACCATTCTCCATGGCTGATCACTGAATGTGGATTCAACTGTTTATCAAATTCTGCACCCACATTGAAAGGGAGGAACAGAAATCATGTATGCAGAATGTGTTAAAAGATGGAGGTGCTCTTGGCCAGCAAATTTTGTTTGTAAAAACTTCTTTCTTTCTTCTTGTGACCAAAGCCTGCCTTGCTGACCAGAAAATTCTACCAAGTAGCCAATGTGTTCTCACCTTCCATTATCATCCAATGAATTAGGATCCAAATCCTCTAAAACACCAGCTTTTAATGGAGATTTTGTGGCCTTCAAAATCTAATTATGCATGATATATGAAAAAGTTATGTGTAAGGAAAAATCTCCACAGGATTATCATTAGAAAAAAAATTAATTGAAATAAACCAAGATTCAGTGGCAAATATTTCTTCCAAAGTGGGAGTTCCTTTCCTGCCCCAGGGCACTTTATTCGAGAAGCGTTTTTATGTGAAGAGGTGTACAAGTGATTGCTTTTTGTAAGGCAAGTTTTGCTAATCATTATAATAATTTGGAGTGTGGGAAGTAATCACCATCCAGTAGATACATTTACCCTTAGTAAGTTTACTATTTTTTTAAGGGGGAGGGGGATTGCAATGATTCTAGAGGATTGCTTTATCCACCATGTAAGCCACTACATGTAAGATCATCTAACTGAGACTAGCATTAAAGCTAAGATTAGCATTAAAGGCTCTTGCCAACTGTAAGCTTGCTTGGTTCTCATCAGATTGTGTTAGCTTGTCGTTTTCTCAAAGTTAATTTTTAAAAAATGTTACGATGCTCATTGTCACCAGAAACCTGGATAAACAACAGTGAATCATAGTGTTTATAACTATAAGCTAGCAGATCAGAACAGCTTAGAGCAGTAATTTGTACTTCAAAAAATAAGAAACCAAGGTAAGATTTCTGTACAGCCCCACACTTCATTATGCATACAGTTATTAAATTGACAAAAAAAAGCAATGCATAGCGAAAACAATAGATTGTCTTTGGAAACGGTTTTGTTTTACAATAGTATAGGAGTGTGTGGAAATCTTAACGAACCACATTTTGATCTAATGTTTGCACAAATGAACTTTCTCACCGAAGATCGGCGGCTCGAAGATTTTCGTTTACCACCAATGGTGATCCTGCAAATGGAAAATCAAATGTATTTAATTTCCTAAGATTTTTTCCTGTCAATGAAACTTGTTATGGATTGCTCAACTTTCCTACTAAGTCACTTACTTAGTCGATAATAAATGTCCCATAAGAACCACATGTCGCAACACAATTCGATTGTAGAAATTGAAATGGTAGCCAAATGATATTTCCACTCAAAAACAACGAAGAAAAAAAACACAGATTTACTGAATGTATAACGAAGGTGAATATTACAGAGCTGTTTATGTGAAGTTCTGATCATTAACAACGTATTTGTAAACTCAAAAAGGAAACTTAAGCAAAGGAAGTTATGAATTCTAGAATATCCTGTTAAATTCAAGCTAAATTTACCGGTTTTCAGAGTCCTCCCTCGATGTTAACGCTTCCATCTCTAATCATCAACTTATCAACGGTTGAAAACAAAAAGTCAAATTCAGCGCCAAGGTGGAGAAGCGACTCGCGCGCATCAACACATCGCTGTTGACCGCTTTCCAACAAAATCGTGGTTACTTAATCCATCCAACATGGTGGATGTCCCATGTGTTATAATCAAGAGATGTAATTCAGACTGGAGCTGTTGTGGTATCGTTTTAGACAGTAATAACGGCATTTTGTTAACAGTTGCGTCTTTATTTAGTGACACTTTGCATCAAAATGAAAGGCAGCGGACAATTTCCGAGGATTCCCCCATCCTTGTCAGTTCAATGTCACCAAATGATGAAATCGCTGTCGAGGTTATCTTTCGAAGTCACACAGACGAAGAATTTAGAACATTCGAAGGCTATGTCATCTTGTTTTGGAGAGATTACGGACTTAAGAGAATTACTGAACTTATTTTTCCAACGTCGGAATGGAAATTCGAACTATTTGGTCATGATCAGAAATATTTTCAAGGAGCCTCAGATGAAGAACATGGGAACGACACGTCCCAGCTGCATCAGACCGCCCTATCAGATTTTGCTCTGATCAAAGTGAAAAATCCTGAGAATTTCTGCTTATCTTACAGTTTGGTTAATCTACGAACGCTGCGTGGCCTTGAAAACCCTAAAATAGGCGACTCTTTGTGTGTTATTGGCACACCTTTCGGGTGTGAATGTCCCCAAGTTTTCTACAACAGCGTTTCTAAAGGGATCGTGTCTAATGTCCTGGGACGGAACAATGAAATGATCATCACTGATGCCCGTTGTATTCCAGGCTGTGAAGGATGCGCTTTGTACACTTTCAACCACAAACCTGGATTATTGAATGGTAGAGATCTCTACGGAATCGTTCTTGCACCATTTTGTTGGCGGAACGGCGAGTGGATCGGAATAACTTTAGCTTGTTCACTGTGGTATATAATACATAATTTGTCACAACTATTGAAGGGGAACATATCTTTGATTCCACTCAAGTTAACGGAAATTCTAGCCAATGTGTTAGACTTCCAGGTCAAAATACAGTCTCAGCAGAATGTCATCACAGAAGATAACATGCTTGTGCACAAAGGCACCCACTCAACTGTCATACATGTAGATCGAGACAGTTCTAACCTTCAGGACATAATAAAGATAGCTCTTTCAAGTGTTGTAATGGTTCAGTGTGGTAACAGATGGGGCTCAGGTGTTATAATTGATAGTGAAGATGGTCTCGTCGTAACCTGTAGTCATGTGGTTAAAGATTGTCAGAATCCCCTTATTGTGACAGGGAGCAGTAATACTGTACAATGTTTCAGGGAAAAGGACAAAGTCAAGCTATGTGGGAATTATGACCACAGTGCTCATCAGAAAGTACAAGTTCTCTTTGCCACTCAAGAAGAATGCCCTTTAGATTTTGCTTTGTTGAAAATGCAACTGAATCAACAGTCAAGACCTCTTAGATCAAGACTAGAGACTAATCTTGAGCAGAGAAAATCTCCAAAATCTTTTGCCAAACATCGTTACAAGAAAGGCAAGGATGTCCTTGTAATTGGTTTTCCACTGTTTGCAAGCCACTTGAACACAGGAGCATCAGTTGTTTCTGGGGTAATATCAAACATTGTACATGTTCAGAAACAGACAGTGTTACTTCAGTCAACTGCAGCAGTTCACTGTGGTACAAGTGGAGGGGCACTGGTGTCTGCTGAGACTGGGGAACTGTTAGGAATGATAACAAGTCATGTGAAAGATGCAAACATGTCCTGTACCTTCCCTCATGTGAACTTTAGCATTCCAGCTGACTTACTGTATCAACTAGTTTCATCAGTAAAGGATGGGACAATTGAAAATACTCTGCAAGCTCTTGTCTCAAATGACTTGAAAAATGTATGGCAATTAGACAAAAATCTTTCTGACAAGCCTCAAATTATTAGCAAGCTGTAAGAAGCTTCGCCTTTTTTTTTCCCATAAGTGACCCAAAAAATTAATTTCTCCTTACAGTATTTTTACATTTTCAGGCAAAAAGGTGAGGAGAAGAGGGAAAAATGATCGACATAGGGGTGTTAAATGATTTATCACCAAATTCCTAAAGCTTAAATTGTTTAACACATGACAGACAGTGTGGAGAACAAATACCTAGATCAAGGATTCAGAGGGTTAGTCTTTTAACCTTTTAGTTCCTTAAGTATGAGGACAAAGGGTTTGTTAGGCAAGGAGAATTACAACAGGTCCAAACACGCTAGATAAACAATTCTCTTTTAATCTGACTGTACACCACAAGATTTTAAACTCAAATACAGTGACTATTGATAATATCATTCCCCAGATGTAGTCTGGCCTAAGGGGCCTGGATATGAGTGACAGGCAGACAGGTATCAGAGGTGGAACTAGCATTTGTACTGTGTAGGATTCTTATTTGTCATACGATATGCTCACCTTGGACAAGTAATACCATAGCAAAACCATGATCAAAGCTGACTTGTGTAGGGCCGGATAGATTGACAAGAGCTGGTCTGGATAAAATCATCTGGCCCCGCACTCTGACAAAAATAAAGAGATTTGTTTACGTGAAACTTAAGGGGAAACAGAAATGTGAAAATAAGTCACGTTTTTCAATAATTGTGATTTCTTGCTCTGACTTGAAAAAATAAAGGAAAAGTTGTTATTTTAGGATCTTTTTTTGAATTTTTTTCGAAATTTTCCAGCAACACCAGGTGGTCATATGATGAAATGCTATTTGACTGAGTTAAAGGGACACAAAAGTTGCTCCGAGTTTGCAGTTCAGGTTATGAATTAAGTGGGAGTCGAAAGTATATGAAAAACAATGAAAATTTCCTTTTTCGATTCTATTGTTACTTGCGTGGTGGCGTTCATGTTTTAATTCTGATTGACGATCACAGAGAATCACCAGAATCATTCCAGAGACATTCTTGTACAAGCCATTGACAATGAAGCAAATTGAATCAATCAAAACAGGATAAGGTCGTGATCTTGTGGAAAAAGGAAACTAGGATAGAAGACGGCGCCCATTTGAGTGGAAACAGTATCAAACTATATTAAAGTTCACAAGGCAACCAGGTGAACAATCAGACACGGTTTGATGCTGGTCTGGTTTAAAGATTTAATAAATGTAACCGAAAAATTACAATTCATAGACACAATGTTTCGAAACTCCTGTCTAGTGCCTTCATCATCTTTTGTTTACCAGCTGAGTTGATAATGTAAATTGCCACCACTAAAAGTTTCTAAAGTTATATACTTTGGTACTACATTTGTTGTCACGCTAAGGAAAACGTCATTTCTCAAAATTATGGGTTATAAAAAAAGGTTTATAACGGAAAATGTTCATCTTCATCTCGTCTAACATCAAATTTGTACTTAAAAAGATGCTGATAAAATTGAGTACAGTCTGTGGTTAAAAATACAGAATAATTTCATTATATATGATTAAAGACGTAAGTCTCCTTCAGATGTAACGCGAGGGAGAACGGCGTGACATCCCGGGGAAAGGTTGCGAAAGAGACTAACATCAAATTCACGAAAGAAATGTGTTTTAACAAAACGACTGTTACATAGTTAGCGCGCGATATCTTGAGACTCGCGCATGAATATTGGAAAATAAATGTTATCATTAATTTCTCTGTAGAAAAAGGCTATTGAAAGTTATATTCCTACATCTCTTGCAAACGCTTCCTAATTTGAGGAAATTCTTTTTCACAGCGGCACCCTAAGAAAGACAAAAGATAAAAGTTCGTAATCATTTTGATTTATTCTTGCAGAGCCTTTCATTGACTTCATTACACCGGCGATAAGGAGTCAGTCGTTACTTCCCGCCTGATGAACGGAGGAGGGATCAGTCGTTACCAACAGAGTATATGAAACAGTGTCAGAGATACAGTGATCACAGACAGTGTGGATTCA